AGAAAACACAGATGGTTTTCCTGCTCAAGCTCAAGACCTTTTCCCCAGTTTTAACATTTAGAAATCCTGGTACTTCATAACATGATCCATTGTTCCTGGAAAGGGAAACCAAACCAGAGATACTTAAGAAACTGACTGCAAAAAGCTACAATTTATACGATTGGTGGTTTATAGCAACAAAGGTTTTGTCTCATGGAATAAATAAATCCAAATGGAAGGCATTTAACTTGATAATCTAAAGGACTACACATGCCACTTGATCATGCAGTGCCATCAGATGCTCTGACAATATCAAAGGCTGATGCAAAGACATGCGACACCAAAATTAATGAATTCTTTCCTTAACAACCTTTTAAGCAGATTGACCTAAATACTGTGAACTAACAGGCAGAGTGGTTAAACTCTTCTCGGAAGACTAGACACTAAATATCTAAGGTAAATACCCCACCATATTAGTGGATCGTTAATAAAATGTTCTATATTCTGTACTACAAACTGGTAGGAGTTTGGTAACAGGTAACAGATGAGTTGCTAATGCCCACAGCAGGATTTGAARTCCCTTACCCTTCCCTGAAGCCAGTACCTCCTTAAAAGGCACATTAATTTAACAACAATTTCCAAGTGTACACATTAAACCTCTGTGTATCCACACAGCGTAAGGGCCAAGTCCTTTTGCAATAAAATTCTCTTCACTTGCCACACAATACCACTTGACAAAGGCTGACTGGAATACTGCTCCATTTTATTATGACATTTAAGAGTGCAGTATTAAATTTGTTTTGTACTGGAATGAAAAATAAAATTAAATATTTCTATCCTTCTAACCATTCAGCACAGCTGCTAAAGTTGTTTTTAGTGTCAAACTGCCATGAAAACAATGACACCAGGTAAGTTTTGGCTCYTGAACTGTTCAATTTTACAACTTTTAAAATTAATTTTGTTCTAGTGGAATGAAAAAAAAATTCTAACTTGTATTAAGAATAGAATTCTATTGACATGTACGTATAAAGTGAGAAGGTTTGCTTTTAATAGGGTTATCTTTACTTTTGAGAAAGCCTAATCTTGACCAGAAAGCCTGGACARCATAAGCAAAGTATTAAAAACAGGTAGCTAAGTAACTCTTTGGAMTACTAGTATTAATTGTAACCAACTCTTGGAGAACAAAGGCAGCATTACAGCAAATAAATAAAAATATCACACCAGCACATTAAAAAGGGAAATTAGAATAACTTATATACTGGCAATGTAATGCTGATCATCGCAGAACAACAAAGAAGATGTTATTTCCTTAATGTTGTAAAGAAGAATTCAATAGGCACTAMACAAAAGGAGGGTAAAATAACTACCAATTCGATTTTGTTCCCTTAAAGACAAAAAATAAGGCAGCCTTTTCACAAAGAGAATAGCTTTCCATGGCAAGGATGCAATTCTATTTGACACAGAAAATATGATACAGTGAAAAGCAGAATTCCCTAAGCTCTGTGGTCTTGGATAGGAAGGAAAGAAAAAGAGAAGAAAAAAAGCATGATTGTGTTGGCATAATTTAAACCTATACAGGGTGTAGGTTTAAAAAAAAAAAAGAAAAAAATTATTTGCTGGAAACTTTCAACTGCACCAAACACTTCCACTACATTTGAGATCCAAAGTCTAGGTAATTAATTTACCTGATCCTTTCTAATATGAATGCCTTCTCCAGTCACCTCTTCCTCCTACCTCCTGCAAGTTATGGGGTATATATTTACATACAAACACATGTATATACACACATACATGTACGCATAGATATATATATATATAAATAATGATGATAGATGATACAACACATACACACACAGGCACACACATATATACATATAAATATATATATAAAAATAAAACTCTGCTATGATCAGAATATTTTCTAAGTAGTATTAACCTATGATTGTTCTTATGAAATCATTGATCTAGGGAGGAATACTGGAATGTATTGCACACACCTCATGCATCCTGAAAATGCAGGAGATGCCAGTAGAGTTAGCCATCAACCTGGTGATTAACAGCTGAGAAATACTTATTTAYAACTTATTTATGCTGCTCCAGTCTCACAGAATTCCAAGATGAGAATGGGACACAATTTGGATTCGGCATCTGATCGGATAATACTTTACAGTTTGACTACAATGGGAACTTTGCTGGGAGAAACAAAAATTAGTATATAAATTCTTGACCAGTAGTGGAATAAAGATTACTATTTTAATTGCAATTACACTATTTTGGTGATGCAGGATGACCTGTCCCAGAGATGAGTAAAAGCAGCATGGAAGGATGCTTCTGTTACAAGATTTTAGTTTTGCAGGCTTCACAAGCACAAGGACATGTCTTGAAGGCAATGTTCTGGGCTCCACAACCAAACAAAACTGCTGTCATCTCTGCCACTTGTGCCTTTTTCATCTTTCCATGAAAATTTTTCCCAAGCATCTCATCTTATTTGGCAGAACCACAAAACTCTGCCACATCTCTCCCTTCTATCCCTCTCTCTCATGGCCATGACCCTTATTCAAATGTCCTCTTCCAGCAMCATTATCCATCTACCTCCAGTCATCTCATGTGAAGGGGCCACGTGAGGCTCCATCTTCTTTCATAATCACCTCTCAGATCCAGCTTGTTCCCTTATTAGTATGGGACATGATTCCATCTCAGAATTTCCTAACTAACATGAAGGTAACTTTCTTTACCCTGTCCTAGTGAGTAAAAAAAMATTKGCACATGGTCTTGTTTGCACCTTAATTCAGGGAGAGGCATCTTTCAATAATCAGATCTTAACAACACTCTCACATTTAGTAGTGGTAAAATATCTTATTTACACATGATGTTATTAATCTTAATAGAAAACTGACCCAACAAACAAGTGTGTTACCAATAAAAGACACATACCTTGCTGATAAAATGCATATATTTTTAATTTTATGTCTTGTTGCAAAAACTGTATGTGATAAATTATGAAATCTGTTGATATATTACAGGAAGCATATTTTCCCTTTTATACATATGGAAAAAATTAATTCCTCAGCATCTTTATGAGAGAATCAGTCTATCATCATTCCATTAAGTGCTGGAATCAGGATGAAATTACCAAGGAGAACTCCTACTCCCATCAGGTCATGTAAGAGTCACAAAAGGTGTTAGACCTCTAATTCTCCTGTATTTGGAAATCTTTTAGCTACACATTTATAAACCCAGATCCTCTGCATTTTGTACAGTAAGAGTGATATGAAATACAAACCAGTAAAATGATAGAAGGCCTGAAGGGGAATAACTGAAAACAGACAGCATTAATTATTTTAATATGATATATAGCTTGCAATAKATCATGAGCAGTTTGTTAAAGGTACTTGACTTCTAGTCACTGCAGGCTGCTGCACTGAAATTTATTAAAACCCCTGCATTTCAGTGAATGAAAAGTGCAAGACCAATGACATGGGTAAGAATGTTACTAATACCAATAATAACCACATTGCTATGCATGTCATTAGTCCCAAATTCACACACATGTACATGTCATATGTTCAAAGACCATTAAATGTCAGGACTCTCACACTATCTCTCAAAACGAATATGGAAACTTGTGGAAATGCCAGCATGTTGAATCCTGTCACAGAGAACTGTACGTGGCATTGATAGAAATGCTCCTTTCACAAGAACTTTCTCACAACCCAGTGTTCCGTGCCAACCTGGTATTTGTTTATCTTTGCTGGTGAAGCAGTGAAAGCTTTGAATGCACAAACTGCACATGGAATCTATGTGAATGTTCAGGAGTAAACTCTGCCCAGAGAGGTGGGATCTTCATGCTGTGGCAACATGATCGATCTTTTAATTCGCTRCAGCCTGAACGGAAACTGAGTCCAAGCAAAAGGTCAGAACAGGCATTTTATATTCTGTGTTAAARGAGGGGAGGAAAAAAAATGTCTTTGAGGAGTAAAGTAAGAAGCTAATGAGACMCAGCACTGACAGCTGGAATTTAATAAGTGTCCACTTCACAGGGAAAATTGCTCTTACTAATTAAATACAGGTATCATACAAAGCTTCTGCTTAGAGCTACACTTCAAAATCCTTCTGTCAAGTAGGACTGAAGAAGTTTTACATACTTCTTAATATAAGGGTGAGTTTGCCTGGGAGGCTAGCCCTAAAGGAAGAGGGTTAATTGCACAGAATTCAGTCCTGTCAGTGGTAAATAATTCCAAAGGGACTCGTTTAGTTAGTAGCCTGGCATTACTGAAAAAACAGATCACAACTGAAAAGAACTGTTATAAAGCCCATCAAAATCCGAGACACGTAAAAAGTTTATTACTCATTGCAGAAATAAAATGCAAACAAGATCTTTTTAGAGGSATCCCAAATTCTTTATGCTCCAGGTCTGTAGGACTGTAAAACTCTACCTGAGAAAATTTTAAACAATCTTCTAATTAATCTCAGGATTTTATAGCTTTTCACAAGCTGTAAGTAAAACATTAACAGGGTAGGAGGAAGTACTCTTTGTACTAAGCATGAATCCAAGCCCTGCTGACATAGTCCACTAGATGAATCAGGTTACATCAAACTGAGATTASAACGGGTACTAGCCCACAGAATAGAGTTTCATTTAGGGGACTGCATTCCCATAAATGAAGGTACAAGRTTCTAAATTACTGAGAGCATCTGAGAGAGAAGAGTCTGACAGATTTTCTGTMATTTGAGACATCATCATCAAAATATGACCCCATAGCGCATCCTTAAAAATAAAACTCATATCCTTGAAAAGACATTTTGATAATCACTTAATTATTAATTATCACTTAATTAGCAGTCCAACAGAATATTGTTGGTATCACGAGAAGAAAGCAGTTAAAATGTCTAGATGGTTGAGTGTTTTTACCAGCTAGATCCAATGAATTCACATTTACCCAAGAATGCATAACAAAACCACACAGCTCTAATTACTTCAGTGTAAAGGAGCACTGATTCTGCAATATGTTTTAACCTACCTCATAGTACATAGGCATATCCCTAGCCCTTCTTCTTTGAGTCCCAAATTCTTCGACCTGTAAGTAAATAAAGCATTCTGCTGTGAGAAAATTTTATGTTTACAGAAATTATTTTACTCAATAATCCCTTCTGCAAACACTATATTCACACTCCAAAACAGTCAGGAATTATTCTATGGTACCCCTGTACCTTAGGAAGGGAGCTTTGTATAAGCACAAAGAAGAAGTCTGTAATGGAACTTCATTTACAGAGCGCAGAGCAACTCATACAATAAGCTTTWCTTTTTATCTTTTTCAATTTTTAACTTCTGTGAATTACAGTAATGAAGCTGGTGAAAACTATGGAGAGTAAGTCCTATGAGGAGTGGATGAGGAAGCTGGAGTTGTTTAGTCTGGAGAAATCCTTTCCTCAGGGGAGCTCTTATCACTCTCTACAACTACCTAAAAGGAGGKARGGGGGACTGGTCTCATCTCTCAGGCAACAAGTGACAGGACAAGAGGAAAAGGCTTCAAGCTGTGCCAGGAGAGGTTCAGGTTAGAGATTTTTTTTTTTTTTCACAGAAAGGGTTTTCAAGCATTAGAATGGGCTGCCCAGGGAGGTGGAGTCACCATCCCTGGAAGTGTTCAAGAAACAACTGGATGTGGCACTTGGTGCTGTTGATAAGGTGGGGTTCAATMAAAGGTTGGACCCAATGATCTTGGAGTTGTTTTCCAACCTTAATGATTCTATGAATTAGTGTAATTTTTGAAACTTCTACAGTGTAGTTTATCATTACCACAGACCAAAGAAGGCAGGATCTAGAAATTACACCTCCAGTTTGGATCATTATTAAAATTTAATTTCTTGGAATACCTGTCTGAAAATGTCTTCACGTGTTACCAAGGTGAAGAGCTTTCGCAGTGGCACCTGCACAGCAAGAGACAGGGCCCGGAGGTGGATGTCATCCTCARTCCTGGTCCCCACAACAAAAGCAATGCTGGGCTTCCAGTTATTCTGCATGCCAAAAGAAAAYATTAAAGGTATTAAAACTCATGCCAACAAAATTACTTCTCTGCAGTTTCAAAGAGAAATCTTGTAGCGATGGTTTCATGTCATTTTAAGATGTAATAAACATCACTGTGTTAATCACACTAAAATTGCATGCAACCCAAAAAAGCCTCTACTACTTTGTCCCAATTCTTTCTGCCATCAGATGGCAGCATTATGCTATGGAAACACAAATTCCTACTAACAGCCTGAACAAAACTCGCAGGCAAACGCTGCATTAGCATCTCACAAAGATGTACTGACTTTTAAATGGCATTTGCAAATTTGACAGTTCAGATAGCAAACAAGAAGTGAATTTTGAATAAATGTATTATTGTGATTATTTTATGTAGAAAAAAATAACAATATTCAGCTCCCTCATCATGGGAATTAGATAATGCTCTGATACTATTTTCTGGAAATTGTAGCATTATTTTTATGATGTTCTATGAAGGTATACTTCATAAAGTATRGTTCATAAAGGTATGGTTCTTGCACGGATTCACTAAATATTTTGAATCAAGAAAAATTATCAATGACAAGTTGTATTAACTACAATATCAATTAATTAAAAAAACTAGCAGTTTTCAAATGTTTACAGTAGCATACACATTATTTTAATGGAAAAAAATGTTTTCAGCACTAAAAAATGCAGAACAAGAGAAGATGGGAACACTTTATCTAGTGATACATCCACAAAAGTTTAAACATTATGTAATTTAAGCAACTTCTACTTGTTACTCCCTTTCACATTTCTGCTTTAACCTTCTGCCACCCTTTTCACAGAGTGAATCACTGTCTCCAGCACATCTCCATCTCACTCTAGAGAGCGTTCTTTATCAGTATCAGTGGAAGCTGAACCAGATGCATTAGTAATGGTTGTGCTATACAGGATCACCAGATTTTTTTTTTCAATGCATATCTGCATGTGTAAACTGCAAGGTTACCAATACAGCTGCATAAAGGTAAACATGGAAAGGGATTCAGTCAGACCAAGGCAGTCCCAAGTCAGTCCCACTAATCATGATCAGCCTAAGCAGAGTCACAGTCCAGTGCACATCATAGTAAAGAAAGAATTAAAGAGATTTAAGAGAGGGTGGTAACTTTAGGATAGTGAATATTTTCATATATTTATATTATGTACAAAGCCTTTGTGGAATAGGAACAAAACCTGGGCTGAGTTTATGGTAAACACAGGAAAAGGACCATTCTAAGAAACAGACTCAAATGGAAAGAGAAGCATCTTCTTCCAGTTTTACAATACCCTTCTTCACTTGTTCCTTTTCTTAGGTGATATAAAGCCTAGCTAAATGTCTGCAATTTGAATAATTGATGGATTGGGAAGGGAGAAAGCCACAGTTGACATCAAAATAGTACCTGCTTGCWTGGTGGGAAAGAGTTTGTCAAACTCTTAATGTAACAAAAAATGAGTATGCCCCATTTTTTTAACAACAGAATATTCAAAAAAGCAAGAAAGAAGAGTCATGAATAGCTTGTCATCTATTTCTAGACTGACCAGTATTGAAGTCCTTAATGATAATTTTTCAGAAAAGCTGCACACTGAGAACATGAACTAAAGTCAACAAGGACAGTCAATGTGCAGCATTAATACACAGTTTAAGGAGTTTAATTGAAGATACTCTTTTCTGACATTTAAAATCTAATATTTTTGCAATACTGCCTCTATATTATCGATTGTGTAACAGTATCCTTTATATTCAAGGCACTGAAAGGATAGAGGAGAAACAGACCCTGTTTCTACAGCTCACYACCTAAAATCACAACATAAAAATGTGAAGGAAAAGTAGTAAAATGTATATGGTTACTTTAAAAATATTTTCTCCCTCAATATACAACTGCTCCTCTACTTAGTTTTATTCTTTCAAATGTTATTGTAGTATCTAGGCTTGAGAAAGGATCTGAAAGAGGATAGATTAGTGACCCCAAGGCTACCTCAAATGACATTCCCAGCTTAATGAACAGGATAGAGAAAACYATAAAAATAACTACTGGAAAATCATGGAAACAGTTTAGGGAGGTTGCCATTGAGACTATAACATGAGCCCTACAAACTGAGCACAAAATGCAGGGAGCAGATATCCCACAGAAWCAACAATGCTGATTCAAATGTGAATTTAAAAAAAAATTGAAGCTGGAAATGTGCATTGGCAACTGAATACTGCTTAAAGAATCTGAAGCAAGCTCCAGTTAAGGGCAGGCCAGATTGCTCTCACTGGAATACATCCAGTGACAACCATTGTCACAAATGACACTGTCCTCCTGGTTTTAAAACTCTTTGCCATGTCAAGTGTTGCAACAACAAAGTCTCTCAGTGTTAGAAATATCCATCTGTGTGGAAACTTCTTTGTCCCTCAGTTGGAGRTTCTCCAAACCTGCAAGATCAACCTAATTCTGAAAGCTCCATGTAAGCAGCAAACAGTTTTTCAAAATCCTTGCTTTCACAAACACAGAAGGTGCCTCTTTTCATGGTTTTGCACTCAAACTTCCATTTTGTTCCTCTGCAATGCAATTTTTTCCAACTGTTAAAAATCAGTACACGTAACCTGTATATCTTATTCATCACAGCAGTATTGGAATAGCATGAGTACGTTAAAAAAATATCTAATTTTAATTATTAAAATATCTAATTTTAATTCACATTGAAGAAAAAAGCAGATGGAGCAAAACAATTTTTTTTTCTTTTTGAACACATCTTGTTTTCTCTGCTTCGGTTCCTAGACACAAAAAGGCAGCTGTTCTAGAGAAGACAGTTGAACAAGTCAGGTATATTGCTTATTTTTGCAGTACCAGTTTCTAGATCTCTTTGGCCAAGAAAAGCATCAAGCAGCCATCTTATCCTCCTCCCATTTCCAGACAATCTGATTAGCTCTCMTTTTACTTTTGCAGTATTTAATGTTGTGGGGTTTACTGTTTTTAATTTGGTTGCCTTTTTTTTTTTTGTTTGCTTATTTGTTTGGGGTTTTTTTGCAGATTGTGTGTGTATTTTGTTTGACTGTTTGGTATTTTTTCCCTTAGGACAACGACCAGTAAGTTCATTTCATTATGGCAGAATTTCAAATTTACCTGTWAGGGCTCAGAAGAAACATTTAAAAACTCAAACTCCAAACATCCGATCATCAAACTGAAAGAGTTCTTCAATCCCTTGATTTTTACATAATACTTCAGAAATATTAAGATTTATTAGTGATTTACGAACAATTAGGAGTAGTAACAACTATTTTCAACAATGAGGGAGCTTGTAAACCAGTAAATACAGCTGCCTTTACTGGGAAAGGTTGTTTATCAGGAATTTTGTAGCCTTAAGGTAGGACATCACTGCTTAGAAATCTGCAGACCCACTTTCATTACCTGATTGGCACACCCACATTTACCAAGTTTTTAAGAGCCTGAGCTTTTGCTGTACAGTATAGGCAGATGAGAGAATAACAAAGCTCAACAGAATGCTAATTTTTCTCTGAAGAGGAAGTAGTATGAATATCAATMAAAAATGGAGCCATCCTATTCAGAACATTTTTGCAATTTCACAAGATTTAAGTTGATTTCAATTTTCAGGCCCTAAAATGCCAATAAAGTGAGAGAAATCATACAGATGGAAAGTGAGCATAGAACATGGCTTCCAGTTGCAATGGTTAGTTCTAGTTAATAAGAACAAATAATAAATTACAAWTAAGGGCTGTATTTGCCCAGAATTAATCTTTCACTCAGCAAATATCACCCCTTAGCTACTTAACAGATGCAAAGTATAAAACTACCTAAAAATCTTAATTTATATTCTGCAATTTAATTCTGCAGTGAACCCAATSAAAACAGATGATACATATCTGAGGACAAATACAGTTTGCAGCTCCATGTTCTTCTGTATAGCACATTAGAAACAAGAAAGATATATATAAACTATAATGTGAGGTTCTGGAAAATCCATATTTCCTCTGTATGTGTTTTTAAGTTGTGTTTGCCAGTTTTCACAGTGCATTTAGTAAAAGCAATTATTTGGTTAGTAAATACCATTTAAATCATACTTTAGTTAGCATACCCATCCATAAAAATCTTAACAGCACTGGTAAAATGACTCTTTTTCATAGATTGAACTAATAAAATAGTGAAAGTCATAAACACATTAAAATGTGAAATTTCACCACTTGGTCTATCTGGTACAATTTAAAACCAGTTCTAGTAAATTCCCTTTGCCTCCWCTAAAGGGAAAGAATATTTTCTAAACTGATACAAGATTTAAAAATTCTTTACATATGATTTATGAGGAGAGACATTTAGTTATTTGATAGGAGTTCCTGTCATCTTCCAGATAATTTCAGATTCATATGGTGCTTCACATACAATACTGAGGACGAGTAAGAAATAAGTTTTGTGCACTGTGTCTGGTGAGACCTACAATTCAAGTTGTTTSACACTTTCTTTTACAGACTGTTTTCAGTTCCTGGGCTTTATATATTTGAGTTTAAACTTTGTATGTTATRCGATTACTGGGGTAGAGTGAGTGGGGGGAGGGATAGTGTGGTTAGGCTCTTTGCAGAATGAGATTTGATTTCTAAAAATCCTGCTTATCCTTTAATAAAAACCCCTATGTGATTAAGTAGTTAAGATATTCAATGCCCTCCGTGTTCAAGAGGAAGGAATTAAATCTGGCAGCAGAGCTGTACTTGTGTCAAAGATGTGCTTKTACAGAGCATGTTTATTTACATTAAGTACACCCACATTTGGCCACACTTGCTGAATCTTGATTCACACATGCTCAGAACAGATTTGTTGGCATTTGAGTTTTGCATGGAGTGTACTCTTGTCCATGACTGTAAGAGCTGAATAAGAACACTCCTGCAGTAAGAAATTTCAGTGGCTGCCCAGCATCTCAGAAGCCTAACTTCGAGTTTTTCTCAACTTCYCAAACCTCTGTGAACACCATGGCAGAGAAAGTGAAATTAATTTAACTGGAACAGAAAGCAGTCAGACGACACCAGAATTACAGAAACAAGGAATCTCAAGTCAGCCCCCATGGGTATAGGCATTACAATAATCTTTAATTAGGTGATCACATACTTTTTCCTACAGAATTCCTGCYCCATTCAATATTTTTTTTCCATCTGCCTCAATGTGTGGTCCTGAATAATACCAACTTTAACATTTCCCAATTTTTGAGCATTTTATTTCCTACCTTTAAAAATACTTCAATATAACGGTGTGCATTTAAGAAATGTAATAAATCACGTGTAGAGGCAGCAGAGCATACAAAGCGCTTTGTTCACTGAATTCACTGCACAATATCCACAACCACAATAAACACCACCATAAAAAAATATAATCACTAATTGGCACCTTGCTAGTAAGCATAAGAGAAAGACCAGGAACAGAGTAGAGATGGAGATTGAACCTTCATCCCATTCTTATGCTTCAGGGAGGTTTTCAAGGACAAGATTCACAAGTAACAAAAGGCTCAAACACCTTAGAACTCTATTGAAAAATCTATGTTCGATGGAAAAATGGGAAACAACGCCCTAAGATATTCAAAAAGTGGTCTTGTTTGGCTAAACTTGTACTATATGGTTACAACCAAATAAAAGTAGAAGAAAG